CAAATACAGTCATCACAACACGTACCTTCACAGAGCTTCTAGGGAGATCGTCTCACCGCCGTAGCTGTCAATCTGATCAAAATACGTGTTCAATGGCATTAAAATGAGAAAAAACGCGTCTGAATCGGTTAATCCATAGGTTTTTAACGTCTATGTATAAACAAATTATTGAATTTATAATCCATAATTCCATTTTTATGTAAAAATCGGAGAGCAAATGCTAGCTGCTAATGGTTGCCACCACAGCTAGCTGCTGCTTCCGGTCAAGCAGCAGTCTCAGTGAGATATAAATATATAAATATCTTTGCGTTTTGGACTAACTTTAAAATATTCCCATGCTTTTGAAGACCTAGGGCGAGATGTTTTCGTTTGAGGGCTTCGTGCGCAATCCTGTGAGGAGGAGGTGATAGCCGTTTCAGTCTCCATTGTGTTAGAAGTGCGATTGCGAACTGCTTGTTGCTTTGGGTGACCCATGTGTGTGTGGCGACCATATATACAGTCTATGGTGGCGACGCGGAAATATGTCGTCGACGATATTTTGAAGTCGTCGACGCGTCGCTACAGCACTATGAAAAACAAGCGCTCCTCATCCCAATCCACCCACACCGCAGTATTTTTTCTTTTTTTTTACCCAAAAAATATATTGTATATTATCGGGGCTATTAATACTTTTATCGGGTTTATCGGGATGACGTCATAATTCCTAATATCGGACCGATAATTATCGGGTCGATAATTATCTTGCACCACTAGTATTATTGTGATCTTTGACCATCAAAACATGGGTCTAGATACATTATTTGTTCATGTATCTGCAATATTGTCTGAGATAGTGAAAAGTGTGAAAATTCAGTTTTTGGTAATGTTGATACTAACTTGCATAAAAAATACATGTGGGACATCCAGACAACATTTTAACATAGCTCATAATTTTCTACATACTTTTTCCACTTAGGAAACACTGATTATAAGTATTTCTGTGTCGGTGCAAAATACATCGTTCTTGGTACAAGACTAAAATGCTATTTTCTTGTAATGGCGGCACTAATTAGCATAATAGCATGCCACAGACACATGTGATCACTTTAAGAATAGTTTTATTGTGTTCCTTGACCCTCAAAACATGGATCTGGATACCTTATTTGTTCAGTTATCTGCAATGATGGCTGAGATATAGTGAAAGGTGTAAAAAGAGTGAAACTCGATTTTTAGGGTAAATAAACACTAATTTGGGAAAAAAATATACGTGGGACAATTTTTCAACTTTTTAACATAGCTAATCGTTTTCTACACAATTTTTTCAATCTAGAAAAGCTGATTAAAAGTATATTTCAGGGGGGTGCATGATACCCCCTTCTACCCACTAGACTATTTGGATTAATTCAAATTGCGAGAGAATAATTCATAAAGAAATCAATGAATAAATAAGTTCAATAATAAATTAAACACATCTTCAATGTTACTTGATAAAGAATAGGGGAACTAGTACAAAGGTCGTTAAGTAATAAATTCATGTAAAATCTCATCAATCAATTATTGCCAACATGTATGTATGTGTGTATATATATATATATATATATATATATATATATATATATATATATATATATATATATACATACAGAGAATATATATTTTGAGAGAGATATACACGAGTATTAGACGCATCGTTGCAGCAATTGGACCACGAAGGCCTAATTCACGCTGTCTCCACTGAACAGTGCATGTTTAAGGTCCCATGTCATGCTTTTCCGGTGTGCTATCTAGCTTTTTCTGCAAACGGTCTGCAAAGTCACAAACCCTCAAAGTACACCCTGTAGCGAGTAAAACTCTAACACAGAAAATACGTGCCTATTGTTACGACCCACCCTCTACTCCGTAGTAGTGGCTCGTGGGGAGACCGTTTACAGCCGTTTACTCACACAAGCAATCCGGAAAACAAAAAGAGGCTTGGAGGACTGGCCAAAAGAAACAAACAGAAGGAGGGAACCCGAGCCAGCCACACCACGGGCCGTAGGACCCAGAATGTCCCTCCCCTAACCAGAAATCAAATAAATACCCTATACGAAACAAAATAAAGCTGCAGAAACTGGACTACCAGGTCCTCCAGGCTAAACATAAAAAACATCAGCAGATAAATGGTCTACAGCTCAAAAGTAGCAGAGAGATAATTAAAGGCGAGTGTCTCCCGGCATTAGGATAGGCGAGACCTCCTTCTCCTCCAGTTTCTCCTTATAATACGGCTGAGTGGAATGAGTTACACCTGGGCAGAGACGGAGCCAGGGGCAGACCAGGTGCACCTGCGCAGCAGGGAGACAGAAAAGACAACAGGGTAGCACGTAACGTCTATGCTGCCCCAGAACGCCTCGTTGGAGATTTTTCCATGTTTTCCTTCCAGTGCATACTGTCGTAACGAAGTCCAAATGGACCAATCCGCGGAGCTCCGCACACACACACACACAACCTTATATTTTCTCATCCGCTGTGCTGCGCGGAGCTCCGTTCACCAACACACTCAGAGCCCAGGCTGAGCTCCGCGGTGTCTCGCTGTCTCGCAGACCCCACGCAGCGACCAGGAAACGACACCAGTAATCCAGCTCATACTGTCTGCTCCTCGAGCCTCAAAGGGCAGAGCAGCGATGGGAGGTGATGTTCTATTCATTTTCACGTTCACACAGTCGGTGATTTTGGCCGGCCGTCTTTCCTGCAACGGCAGTTTAAACTGTATTTCCTCCGCACACTGAGCTCTGATTGGTCAGCAGGCGTGCTGCTATCGCTGAGTTGATCTCTTATCCTGGAACCTATCCTGCTTCGGAGCACAGACTAGGTTCCAGGATAAGTCACCATGGAGATCTAGCCCGCTAAAAAGTGAACCAGCTTCGTAGGACCGGAAACCCAGAGTTTTCCCTGAAGTTAGCAAAAATCCTGCTTTGTAGTATACCCCCCAGGTGCACCTGCGCAGCAGGGAGACAGAAAAGACAACAGGGGATAGGGCTGTACCCGAATATCCGAATATTCGTTCGTTGGAGTACTATTCGGGTTTCAATTTTGTTATTCGTTTTTTCATTTTTTCCCCGTTTTTTCTTCAAATTGAATTTATTGAAATCTCCAATATCAACGTAAGAGCTTGTTCGGGGGGTGCTAACACTTAACCATAAACGTTATCGTTTACTTTCTTTATATGTAGATATCACTTTTCTCCGTTAATCTCTGTCACGTTGGTTCCAATGCAACAACAATTTCCTGTCAACAGCGCTACCTCTCCTTCAAAAATAAAAGCATGTCCATAAATAGGAAGCCAAGCCAAATTACACTTAAGACATTTGCAACGAAAGTAACAAACACAATGCGATATCCTTTTCAATTTCAAAGAACACAAATTGGGTTAATAACTATATAAAACAACAATACTGTAGAATAACAAAATGAATGCCTTGAATACACCAAAATACACGTGTTGAAGCGGTTCGCTACTGATTACTATTACTGATGTTCAGCTGTAACGGTGGTGGACTCATCAAAACAGAGTGGGCGAGCTGACCAATCAGAGCACAGTGGGCTCATAGGGAGGGGGGGGCAGGAGCTCCAACAAGGCGTGTAGGACAGAGCGTGAATACACATACTATACAGAGATGCTGTATGAGAAAACCAATGTGATTTTGGAACATTGAACAATGTAAATCTATTCTAGTAGACCTCAACAATGGAATTATGATCAGTAGAAATGGCCATGTCATGGGACCTTTTAAGATTATCTGTTCCTTGAGCTCTGTGATCATTTATGTGGGCTCTAATCTGAGGTGCTTTAATTTGCAGTTTCTGAGGCTGTTAACTCTGATGTATTTATCCTCTGCAGCATTACTCTTCCTTTCCCGCGGGGGTCCTCATGAGAGCCAGTCTCAACATAGCATTCAATAGTTTTTGCAACTGCACTTGAGGATACATTCAACGTTCTTGATATTTTCCGGATCGACTGGTCTTCATTTATTAAAGTGATGATGGACAGTCGTTTCTCTTTACTGGGTTGAGTCGTTCTTGCTATAATATGGATTACAGCATTAGTCAAATAGGGCTTTCCACTGTGCACTAACTCTACCTCTGCACAACACAACTGATGGTCTCAAACACATTAAGAAGGCAAGTAATTCCACACATTGACTCTTGACAATGCACAGGTGTTAATTGAAAACCATTTCAGGTGTCTACCTCATGAAGCTGACTGAGAGAAGCCAAGAGTGTGCAAAGCTGTCATCAAGGAAAAAGGGGGCTACTTTGAAGAATCTAAAAAAAAAATCATATTCTTGATTTTTTTTAACAATTTTTTGTTAACTAGATAATTCCATATGTGTTCTTTCATAGTTTTGATGTCTACAAAGTAGAAAAAAATTAAAATAAACAAAAACAATTGAATGAGAAGGTGTCCAGACTTTTGACTGGTACTGTATATAAAAAACACACATTTTAATATTTAGCAGGTTCCCTCATCGATAATCATTTATACACGCGCAACTTTGAACATGCACAGCAGTAAAATGCAACATACGAAATAATCAAGAATCATCATAAATTGAAAACTGACAGGGAACATTTTACTGCACCATCATTACTTGACATAAGAAGGTACCGTAAAATGTTCTGTTAATACTTGCATACTTTTACTTGAATAAGGTTTGAATGCAGGATTTTAATTTTATACTGTAGGCGTAGTGTATCTCTGAACGATCCCAAATACAATTCCTTGTTTACATTGCAGCTAGTGCTATGCCAGAAGAAAAAACCCTTTTCATTTATAACTGGAAGTGGAAAGGGGCTGGGCTACATAAGGTGAATTGAGAACACACAAATACACAATAGGCGGGACTAAGAAAGATAATTTGAAAATATAAAAACAAAGGCATTAATTAGGGCTGCAAAATGTCTCCCATTTTAATGGTGATTAGATTTTTTAAATGCTAACACTTAACAGTTTGTTCTGACTGTGTGTTTCCTGTTTCCTGCAGATGTCCAGCTGCTGGTGGTGGTTAAAGAAGAGCTTCTCCCTGACCAGCAGGAGTGGAGCACCAGTCTGGACCAGGAGGACCCAGAGCCCCCCCCACACATTAAACAAGAACAGGAGGAACTCGGGATCAGTCATGAGGGAGAGCAGCTTCAAGAGCTGGAGGAGGCTGATATCACCAAGTTCACTTTCACTCCTGACCCTGTGAAGAGTGAAGATGATAAAGAGAAACCTCAGTCCTCACAGCTTCATCCAAGACAAACTGAACACATGGAAACAGAAGCTGATGGAGATGACTGTCGAAGACCAGAACCAGCCAGGAACTCAGATCCAGAGAGCAGTTTACAACCAAAGACTGAACCTGACACTGGAGACTCTTCTGAACCTGGCACTGAAGACAGTGCTGATTGGAAAGAGACCATAGAACCTGCATCAGGCTCAAACTCACTGAAAAATAGACATGAATCTGTCAGTGATCCACAACGTAGTGCTGAAAATAAACCATTCAGCTGCTCAGTCTGTAAGAAAGTTTTTTCACAGAGTGGACATTTAAAGGCACACATGAAAATCCACACAGGAGAGAAACCACACAGCTGCTCAGTCTGTAAGAAAGCTTTTTCACAGAGTGGACATTTAAAGGAACACATGAAAATCCACACAGGAGAGAAACCATTTAGCTGCTCATTTTGTACCAAATCTTTTGTGCAGAGTGGAAGTTTAAAGTCACACATGAGAATCCACACAGGAGAGAAACCATTCACCTGTACAGTCTGTAAGAAAGCTTTTTCACATAGTGGAAATTTAAAGGAACACATGAAAATCCACACAGGAGAGAATCCCTTTAGCTGCTCAGTTTGTACCAAATCTTTTGTGCAGAGTGGAAGTTTAAAGTCACATATGAGAATCCACACAGGAGAGAAACCATTCACCTGTACAGTCTGTAGGAAAGCTTTTTCACATAGTGGCATTTTAAAGAAACACATGAGAGTCCACACAGGAGAGGAAAAATAGAGCTGCAATGTTTGTGACAAAAGATTTAAATGGCATAATCGTTTCAAAAGACACAAGTGTGTTGGTCGTCAGCTGCTTCTGTAACTGTAAGGGAATACATTTGTCTACTTTGTTTCCTGATGACCTAATGCCGTTACATGTAATGCGTTACTCCCTAAGCCTGATTTCACCCACCTGCAACCGATTCGCGAATAATCACACATGTTCATTTATTTGACCCCTTAACTCGACTATTTCTTGTTTAATAATCGTTACATCTCCTCAGGTGGTGACGTGCAACAACATTAACCTTTCTGTTGGTCGCTTGTTAGCAGACCCTTCACGCGATGGCAGAGCGAACAGGTACAGGCAGGGCCCATAATGATAGCCCTATAGTTTAAATCTACTACCCACACTTGAACATAGGGATATGTATTTATAAATGTATTTAGGAACCTATCCATGTGATTTTTAGTGGGGGTCGACCTCAAATCCTCTAGGGGGTCCAGGGGCATGCCCCCCCCCCCCCCCGGTAAGATTTTATTTTTTATTTTGGAGTTAAAAAAAATTATATAAAAAAAAAATTATAAAAAAAAAAAAAACCTAAATGGGTCGCGAAATATACTTGGACGGCCGTTGATATACCTGGGCGGCCCGCCCAAGTATAGTCTGTGTGGGAAACCCTTTACATGTTACATCATCCAGTTCAACTGTCATTCACATATTAATGATTCAAAACAGCAATGTTTAAGATATGGCTAGTAATTGACTATTTCAACAGAATGTGAAGAGGTTACAGTCTTGAGGCCATGTCCAATATGTTTATGTTTTGTTTGATTAAATCTACTGAAATGAGCATTCAATGACTAAATTATTCTTAATTACTGTCATTACATCATGGGTTTGCATTGCAATATTAGAACGCATAAAACCCAACTTTATTTCTTCCAAGTTGCGGGTGTTCATTGTTTAGAAGTCTGCTGTGTTTCATCCAAGCTTCCACTTCGTGCTCCGATAATGCTGAAAGTATCTGTTGTATGCTTTACCTGCTCCAGTAACAAAAGTCTAATTCACTGGACAGAGACAAGAGATAGTGGATGGATCCAGAAAAGAACCAGAAGATAGTCCGTATAGAGCAGGGGTGGGGAACCTTTTTCCTCTCAAGGGCCATTTCAATTTTTACAAAATCCTCCGAGCCCCGTACAAATGATTGACCTCTGCTTAAAAATACTAAAATCACAGCCCATTTATTTGGCCTTTCTTTCATGCTTTGCAAAGAAAAAGCAACCTCTTAATCCAGACATTTTACCATGACTCTTACCATGTACCATCCTTGGCTGAGACTGAGATTGATATTGAAAGTGGATGAGATTGTTGATGATGTTGGAAATTGTTGATGATATTGGTGATGTTATTAATGATGTCAGGAATTATGTCTTGAATGTTGTTGTATTATTGTTGTATTGTTTGGACCTCAGGAAGAGTAGCTTTTGTCAAGAGCAAAAGCTAATGGGGATCCAACCCTCTGGATAATTTTACGTAATTAATCATATATTTTCGATTATAAGGAGTAGAAATATGATTCAGATATCCGCGGAATCGCTGGAAGAGTAGCTTTCCATCAGTATCTCCTGTGAGACTTTAACCAGGGCACAGCAGCCAATATGGCCGCTCAAAGCAGCTTGACTTTACACTGTGGGATTGGTGGATTTGTGTGTCCGTCAAGGAAATCTCGGTCTGAAATGACCAATGGACATCGAGGAATCACTAAGGACCTACCCACCAAGTAAAAATAACATAAACCACGTGTCTCCCATCAGTTTAGGTCTGTGAGGAGAGAGAGAGAGAGAGACAGAGAAAATGGCTAAAAAAACCTTTACATTTGCCGACTTCGCTAGAGATTTTTTTCGCTAGCAGCAGTGAAGATAGAGCCTCAGAACCTGAAGTCTTCGACTCTTCTGAAGAAGAAGAATACAAAGACAACAACAAGGATCCATTTGGACATGGGTAAGTGTAAATATTACAGTAATAGTGTACTGGCAATGTGTGGGGAATACCGCGAAAATGAACAATAGGTTTATTGATATATATTTTTTATCGATAGTCATGAACTTTTTATTGGGACGAAATAGACTCCATTAGCAAATGTTTACTCTGTGTTAACGTTATTTTGGTGTGTAAAAGTGAGATTACATGTGTAGATGATTAAATTAATCATTTATTCGTCCCACAACGGAGACATTTACAGTGACATGTTTTTGCTATCGATTATTTTATCATACTGTTCTGTACAGATGAGACTTTGTCATAGATATATTTATATGTGTGCCTGTTATTATTTTACCATCCTGTACAGATGAGACTTTGTAATCAGATGTAGCCTATGTGTGTCTGTGATTTTATACTGAATGTAAAGTAACTGGAAATACGTGTGTGTGTGTGTGACTCCTTCTGCAACCTCCCAAACTTTATTTTTATGTGTGCATTGTTATTTGTGCTTGAGCAACATTTTACTTGAACTTTATTTCAATTAAATTAGTTGTAATTATTGTCCTACACAGGCGGCGTTTATCCAGCAGCCACAACATCCATCTGTGCCGGCCCCCGGGTCAAGATCTACTGTGGCTTAGGGCCTTCACCAGAGCCATCACCACCAAGGACCCACTGTCTTGGAAGACAGACAAAGACCTTGACACTGTCTTGACATTTATAATGAATAGTTGGTTGAAAGTTCTGATGTTCAATATTGTAAATAGTGAGATTTTCCAGTTTTTTATATTTATATAAATAGTTGGTTGAAAAAAACATATTTATAATAAATTGTTGGTTGAAAAAAAAAGGTTGAATGCTCAATTTGTATTACACATCACATGAACCTTGGTATGTAATATGAAGTCATTATTCAGTCCTGATGTATCTCAGTCCCTGCTGTGGTGAAAGTAGAGTGATAAACACCTATTTTACTCAAAATTTGAATTGAATTTTTTTCATTTTAGACATGAATAACACATTTATATACAGTGTAATTCAAATATTTCACTGCTTTTGTGATCCTAGGACTTTGGTAACCAAATCTAAAACACCAAAACAATTCGATCACATGAGTAAATTTGTGTTTTCACAAGAGTTTTGAAGATTTTCCAATCCATCACCCTAACCTCCTCTAGGGGGCATGCTCCCCCGGCAATATATATTTTTAAATGTTGAAGTTAAAAGCATCAATCTGGTGTGAGAGCAACATTAGGAGATCTATGGATACATCTCTCAACACCGAACTGTAAGCAGATTTTATTTTTCTTTATCGATATTTTACAAATCACTCCCCTTTTAAACTGTATTCTTTTTTTTTACTGTCATATAGTATTTTATACCAGTTTTTCCTTTATTCTCTTGTTTTTTTATAACTATAATGATCATATAAAGATGTGCCTTTACCTCACTGGTTGAGAAAAAGCTTCTTATATTCGTTAGCATAGCTAGCTAACCAGATGCTAATAACAGTCAAATTATTGACTGTATGATCAGTATGACAGATGAACAGATCGCCACTGGGCTTACAACTAAAGACACAGCCACGCAAAAGCTGCGGCATGTGTACGGCTCCTTATGGGTAGGCTACTGCAATTTTTGGAAATGCTGGATCGGCGTTCTGGTGCTCTCCGGCAGAACTGCACCCCTGTCAGACAAGACATATACCACGTGATGACACGTTAGGCTTGTGTTGTGTTCAAGGACCCTGACCTCGGCCAGGAAAAACAGGCACTCTCTTGTTTAATTATTTTGCGGTCTAGATTTATTTAATTTTTTGCGCGTGTTTTATAAATTACCTCGAGGGCCGCATCAAATGGCCTCGCGAGCCGTATCCAGCCACCTGGATAGATGTCTTGTAATGCACTGTTGCGGAACCTGTGACCCAAGATTTTCATTAATTGCATAACTACACCATAGTTGTGTATATGATATGTCAATACACCTTAGAAAATCTTGAAATCTTGAAAGGGATGTACAAAATAGCCATTATACAGTCTTTAATGAACTATTAGTAGAGAATAACGAGTAATGAATATACTTTATTACTCGTTTCCATTCATGTCAATTGCAGATAAATGTTTAGTCTTCTCAAGCACCAACTATCAAATATCTCTCCTGATTGTTGGCACTTGACAATCACCTTACCTCAATTTTACTCAGGTGTAACTACAGTCTGATTTAAGGGTTGTTTATATTTCACATCATTAATCAGAATCTGCAAAGTAACTCAAATAAATGTAGTGGAGTAAAAATACCAGGTTAACCTCTGAATTGTAGTGGAGTAGAATTAGAAAGTAACAATGAGCTGTCATGTGGGTATATATTAATGCTACGCATTATGGACACAAGTGATTTTCACCCATGTATTAATTAAATGTTTTACATTTGATAACACCAATGTGTTTAATACTGGCAACTTCTAATTGTGGGAAAAACGAAAACGTTCAGTAGAGACGTCCCATAGAACATTTTGCAAAACACAATAGCCAGCATGTGTAGTTCTGGGGGGGGAGGCGTTCGATTCCAGTTTTAGATAGTCTAGCGTGGTTTTGTTCCATTTCAAACAGCTGTTTCTCCGACATCCAATCCCAGAGCTTGAAGATGACTCACGGGGACAGTAGTCCTAAACGATAGCTGGGGATTATGGGTAGTGTAGTGTCTTCGGCCATCCTAAACTCCAAAATGTTTTTCGGATTTCATATCGCATTAACACCATATCCCAACGTGCATTGCGGCTAAAACATCCAATCAGCAAGCTTAAACCATAGCTGAGGATCTTGGGTAATCGGTTCAGAGGCTGTGTATCGCAATGATGCGACGTCTGCTTCCGGTTATTTTTATTTTGAAATTCTGTTCTTGACGGACGCCAAAAAAGCCTGAGATTATGGAATCAAACAAATAAATAAAAACAAGGATAATTGTGTGTTATTGTTGAGTAAATAATATGTGTTATTTAGAAAATAATAACAAATTAGAAGGAAAAAAAGATTAAAAAAAATACAGATTTCAGTATTTTGAGGATCTGAGCCCCATTTCTTTTCCTCACAGACGACAAAAAAAAGTAGATTTAAGACTTAAAGAAGCCCTATTAAAGTGGACCTATCATGCAAAATGCACTTGTGTACGTATTTTATACATGAATATGTGTCCCCGGTGTTCCAGGGAACTCACCAAGTGTCATAAACTACAACACACTCTCTTTTCCTCCGTACCCAAATCTTTTAAAAACGGGGCTACAACGAGCGGATACAGATTCCATCTGACCCGACGTCAGCCCGGAATACTGGGCGGTGACGCTCCGCCTATCAGGGGAATGGGGGGTTGCCACGGCCATTGCCGTGGCCGTGTTATTCAATGCAATCCCTCCCTCGCTGTAATTATCTCCGGT